AACTAGTAAACAACATATTGAAAAGCTAGCATTGATGTTTTGGATGGATAAATGGTTTTATCAAAAAAAATTATTAAAAACTTATGCCCTTGAAAATTTAGGTTAGTACCAATAGGAAATTACATGGAAGAAATCACTAATAATGTTTTGGACATGTTGAAAGATCTAAAAGTGTGTTGCTAGGAAATAATCCAGAGTAATGGTATCCAGGAGAGATTGTGGAGGGCCAAAAAATATTTTAAGAGGCAATAAGAATGGTTTCATGGCCTGTCATTGCTGTCATCATCATCATTATTGTGTTTTGGGTGAACTTTGAGCAAAAACACTGATGTCTAATAGTGACGTCAAACTTGTCCTGCCCTACTATGATTCTGACCCTCATGTTTGTGCCGTGACAATGGTGTGGCAAGACACACTTCTTGGAAGTTTTGACATTTTGCCAATATGTTACTGTGCCAGCACATATACCAGCATGTACCAGGCTGGTAAATATTATAACCAATCAACTCTAGATACAAACAGGTTCAACATGATCTAAGGGCTATCATGCTCTTATTACTCCCAACAAAACCACCAATCTGTGCTGTGTGAAATTTCTAACTTGAATGCACTATTCTTCAGGAATTCCAGAACAGCCATAGGGTATGATCTTAAAATCAGACCACCAACTGCATAAGTTGCAGGAACAACATTTTGGCCAAAAGTTCATTTAAAATTTTAAAAAATAGAAAATAAGATAAACAAAATTGTATTAAAAAACTCATGTAACAAAAAAGTTCAGCCTCAAGATTTATAAATTTAATGTTGAACAAAACATTAGTGTCAATAGATTTCATCCAACAAATAATGATCATAAAAACAAAAAAAACATGAACTCTGCACATTTCAACAGCAACAATTGTACCAAATTATCATATGTCTGAATGTAACAAAGCAACATGAGCAGAAAAAAGATCCATTTCCTATATAAATTACATATTAGTAAGGATGGATATCAGCATATGGAAAAAGGCATATATCTTGTCCAGAGTCCATTGTGTAAGCATGAAGACAAGTCTAAAGGGCTTAAAGTTAATAGATAACATACAGCATTTGCTAAGTCATTCTTCACTCCACGGCCTTTATGAAGACAAAGTGCCAAGTTATATTGAGCACTCGCATAACCTGATTCAGCTGCTCGATAGAACCACTTCACAGCCTCTTCTGATTTGGGTTGATCAGCTGCAACAGAAATATTTTTAACACAGGTTAGAAGGGTCCTCCCAAACCTATTCGTTCAAAACGAGAAAGAAAGTAAGACACTTGTAATACTAATAACAAGTAATTCAGCTATCACTCTCCAGCAGCCTTTGAGGATTAGCAAACAAAATGGCCTACTATTCTTTATCCTGTATTATAATTTCAGCTATGCAAGAGAGAGCAAGTAAGAAGAAAATGTGACTAAAACATCATGAGGCTATATCTTTACTCAAAGATGAACAGTAACAAGTAGAAATATATGCATGTGAAGTAGCTATATGTGAATCTAATTGCAATTGAAAAAGAACCTAAGACAGCTAAACTAATTCAGCAACATTCTAGAATGAAAGACAGCAAGCACCCAAGGTTGAAAACACTCCAAAAAAAAAAAGATGAACCAGGTGTATAACAAGACTTGATATCCCAACTATTTGGGGTTGACTATATGAATCTTTTTCCACCATTGACTATAGATAAACCAAACCAGCTGCAGACCCTGAAGTGACGATAACTTTTTCTTTTCTTGCAAAGAGTCCCAAAACCACCAAAGGCCGATAACTTGAATTCCATGGATGCGGGAAAAAAATGAAATGGCAGTGAAGTTAGGACTCTAATTCAACCAAATAATATATCAGTTCATTCAGGAACCATAGGAATTACTTTAGAAGTAATCATGTTTGGTGACTTGCATAGTTGCAGATGGATGCAAACAGCATAGGTTCATTTTACACGATAAATCACCCTGAAAACTGATCATGCTGAATGACATATAGCTAATTTAGGTTTTGCGGAACATAAGAATGGCAAATTTTACAGGCAGCAAGCGATGGGCACAGGATCGACCTATGAAACCACAAGATCACCAAGAGGATCATTGTGGAGTAGCATCCAAATTGTAAATCGGAACTCAATTATCTATAAAACAGTTACCTTCCAAGTAGCAGACGCCGAGATTGCACTGCCCAGCCGGATAGCCAAGCTCAGCTGCCCTCCGATACAAGGCCTCCGCCTCCTCCTTCTTCCCCATCTCCCAGTACATGAGCCCGGCGTCGACCATGGCGGGTGCCGAACCCCGGTCGACGCCCTTGAGGAAGTACTCGAGAGCCCGGTGAGGGTTGGGGCGGCCGATCCCGGGGCCGCGACCGCGCTTGTAACCCTTTCCCACACGTAGCAGCACCATAGCCTCCCGAAGCGGCCGGAGGGCCTCCCGCCAGGACTGGCACACCGTGCTTGCGGCCCAGAGGGTGGGCACGTCGAAGGGCGCCGCCAGCCGTGCGAGCACGTCGAACGGGAGGTCCGCAAAGCTAGCCGCCGCGGTAGGAGGCGCGGGGCGGGGCGATGGAGGGCTCCACCTCCGCCGGCGGGACCTGCCGCGGACAAACGAGGAGACGGCGGTCCGCTTCCTTTGCTCGTCCATGTCGGCAGAGAAGAATTCCGTCGTCGCCACCGGTTCGATCGGATGCGGGACGTGTTTATTTTCTCCCGAGTTGGGCTGCCGACTCGTCACGGTCCTGAGTTAACACGGTGGGAAATACGTCATGGGTCCGGTTAAATTAGAGTTAATTCTCGAAAACAATTGATCTTTTTCTCTTTTTTTCGAAAGGTGTCTCTAATTTTCAGAATTCTCTAATATTTTTTAATTTAATATCTGAAATATTCTCAATCACATATCTATTTTTAATTATAAATAGATCGAATCTATCTTATTATAATATTTTTATACTACCTTATAGTATTTTTAATAATACTAAAAAATACTATAGTAAAATAGAAAAATACTATAGTGTTTTTCTGGTGTCAGTAAAAAAATATATTAAATTAGATTTTGAAAATATATTATAAGTTTTTGGGCTAAAATTTTAGCTTCATTACTTATATTTTACTATATATATATATACATATATATATATATATATATATATGTATGTATATATCCTTATTATCTTAACATTGGTCATAGAAATATTTGATCTAACATTATTTTGTTTGCCCTTATTATGTGATATAACGATAATATTTTTTTTAGGCTCTTAAGAGAGGGAAAGATAACATATGGAAAACAAAATTTAAAGGGAGAATATATGTTCATAATAGATTTGATAGATATTCACGTTTCTAGTTGACTAAGTTTTTGTATAAATTAGATTATTTTTATATGATTATATAATAAACATTAAACCTTGGTCCAATATTAATTTTGATAATTTATTAAATCAATAGAGAATATAGTGACAAAAATCAACTAGCATGAGAATATCTTTAAAAAAAATAAAAATTATGATATAATGGTACCCGTTACGACTAAGTCGGCACTAAGAGGAGGATAAATTAGTGCTTATGTTAAAAACATCGATTTAAAAACTGTTATTCGATAAAGCCCGTATCGAGAAGACGAGTTTAACTTGAAAGCAATTGTAAACGTAGTGAAAAGAGTTCTAGTAAACTTCTCCTTTTCAAGGGTTTAGGAGATAATCTTTACAACCACTCACCCCTCTTTTAAACTTCACCCAATACTTAGAGCTTGAAAAAAGTTCTCGTAATGTTGCAACATAGTTTTCTTTTTTACTCTTAGTTGATGATGTTCATCCAGTAAGGATGAGTGAGGTTTTAATACCCCCCATATATATTTAAATTTGGAACCAAAACAATCTCATCCCAGGTTTTCGGGATATTGGCAGTACCTCGCCAGTACTGGGCGGTACTACCACCTGACACTTTGACACCAGGCGGTACTATCACCTGATAGAGCCTCGGAGACTGGGCTCTGGCAATACCACTGCTTAGCAGCATTAACTGCCGACAGTATCATCGCCCAGTCCTCTTGGGAAGCTGAGCCTCAAGCGGTTCCACCACCCACTCTAGGCGATGCCACCGCCTGCCTGGCGTGGCTCCAAGTGGCCAAGTGGGCCATCTATCCGGCCCAACTCAGTCCTAACTTAGGCCCAATGGCCCTATAATTGAGTTGGCCTAATTCCAACACAATTACAACTTAAAACTATTTTGATCTAGACAATTATTACAAAGCATTAATCATATTCGACGTGTTATTGGTTCATCGGAGCTTCATCCAATCCTCTGATGCATTGTCCTCTTTTGTGGCCTTTTGTCCAATTTGTATGTTGACATCCGTAACTCTGATTTTCTTGGCGCAATGTTCGCTCTTCTGGGCTTGGTGCCCGAACTCATGGCACGAAGTCTTCTGTCGATACGTTAACCGATCCTTCACCTCGATATTCAATCTTCTGACATGTTTCACTCCGAACATTGATTCTTCCTGCTTTAATTATCTTTTCATGATCAAAACTAGTCCTGCATCCCTCAAAACATAAATTAGATCATTAACTCTATCAATTGATTTCATCGTCAAAATTCGAGATGCAACAGTACAAAGTTAGTTATATGGCTTGATCGGACCAGTAAATACTTTCATGTATTTATTGACAATTTTCAATCAATAGATTTTTAATAAAACTTTTATTAGGAATAAAAAAGTAAAATTTAGATGATATTGGAGATCTAAATTGAGTTACATTGCATCTATTAATTTTATTTTCATGTTTTAACGTTTTTATTCCTTTTTCTTTCTTAATGTTCTCAAAGTAGGCAATAATGCATTAAAAAAAATAATACCGGAAATTTAATATATATATATATATATATATACATATAATATAATTAAAGTTCATAATAATTTTAAAAGGCGTTCGAATTCACTCTGTTTTTCTATCCTCTCTCCTCTCGCCTGCGCTCTTTCCACCACCATGGACCCGAGAAGAGTACCTTCCTACGCTTACTTCCCCTTCCGTCGCGTATCTTACTCTTTTCGGCGCGTCCAAGCGACCGAACAGCACGACATCCGCGACGGCAGCAGTGGAGTCTTCTCTCCCGCCGAGAACGTGCCCTCGTATCGCATTCCCGCCTTCCAACCGACCGAACAGCACGGCATCCGCGACGGCAGCAGTGGAGTCTTCATGGCCTCGTATCCCACTCCCGCCTCCCAACCGACCGAACAGCACGACATCCGATACGGCAGCAGTGGAGTCTTCTCTCCCGCCGAGAACGTCCCCTCGAATCCCACTCCCGTCTCCCTTGCTTCTACCCCCTCCGTTGATCCCGGGGCCTCCGCTTCCCAGGTCACGCTCCACCCCGGGTCCGTCCGGAGAAAGCGGGGGCGACCCAGGATTCACCCTCGCCGGGTCGTCGACCAAAGGACGACCTCGTCTCCTCTGCCCGGGCCATCGTCCTCCCTCTCCCCCGACGCGCCGCTCCCCGACCAGCCTGTCCGGAGGAAGCGTGGGCGACCAAGAGGCCGGTCTCGAAAGGCGCTAGGTCAGTCTACTGCTTCCGGATTCGTTCTAATTGCCTTTCTTGGTCTCTCTTTTTCGATGTCCGCCCGCAGTTTCTTGGTAATTGATGCTGGTATTACTGTTTCTTGTTTTATAAAGCTCAAGAAAGATTCTGGGCCATGGCATTTCTTGATATGATTCTTCTTCGTTTGATGAAGAGGGTCTCTAGTTGTGGTTCATTGTTCGTGCCCTTTCTTCAGGGTACGCATTACATCAATCTTTAGGAAGTTTTGGTGCTTGTGGATGGCTTCCTATAGAAATAGAGCTTTGTAGGGTCTCATATTCTCTGTTCCTATTGTGGTGTTCTTGAGAAAAATTTGATAAAGCTTGCTTAAGTGATAGTAGAAAACACTTCAGAAATTTTAGGTGCATGTGGGTGGCTTCCACTGAAAGTAAAATCTTGTGGGCTCTTGGTGTTTCCTAGAAAATTATTCTTTGGCTTTTTCATGATAATAGAAACCGAACACAAGAATGATTTCTTTTCCTTTCCTTTGCTATATTTATGTATTTGTTTGTCTTTGGAAAGAGGTTGAAATTAATATGGTAGGAAGGTCAACCGTTTTAATTAAAAGGTGAAAATTAAGATTGTCTATTATACAGTAATGCTACAATGCCTTTATTTGTAAGCTTCAAGATCTTAACAATTACTGCATGTGCAAGAACCAGCTATTATAGTTCAAAGCAAAATAAATGGGCACACATGAGACGAAATAAGAGGAGACCAAAGGAGTATTCATTTTACCTTTGGTGTTCACCAGGGGCCGGTGATTTTGGTCAATTTGGTACGAGTATGTTGTTGCCTCGTGACTGTTCCATGCTTCTTCTGTCTTTGAACTCACCCTTCACTCGAATTTGGCTAAAGTGTCCCAAGATAGAGAGTAAACTTTAAAGTTATTACGAGGAGTATCACCCTTCAAAATCCAACTTAAACTTGTTGGATTCTTTTTGTGCCACAACCAATATTGTCTTTGAGTTATTGTTGAACATCTTCATTTTTGTACATTGTAGAAAGGCCCCAATAAAAGTAGATATTGCCCAACCTCAAAGTGTAAGAGTGATGTGGTTAAATTAGAGAGGTACATTTGGCATATCTTTTGACTGTGGAATGAGAATCACCAGTCGTCGCACACTATGTGGCACATCTTCATTTTTGTACATTGTAGGAACGGTCCAATAAAAGTAGATATTGCTCAATCTCAAAGTGTAAAAGTCATAGCTTTTACTGGCACACCATACACTTGCTTGCACAGTCATGAATAATTAACTTTTAATTAGAAAACCAATAAGAATCATTAAGTATGAACATTTGTTGGAATATTGTGTTATTTATCCAAATTTCTTCTAGAAAACATAGTCCTCATATTCAAAAATATATAGTTTCTCTTGTTGTTTGCCTATGTGAAGTCAATAACGATCTAGAAATGAAATTAAATGGTCTGCAAGCTTTCGGCCCTGGGATTATGTTTGCCTATTGTTCAAACTATGGCGATGAGTGATTTTGTGAATCATTCGTTGATTTGACTAATTAGATAGTAGTGCCAATTTTCCATAGTTCTGAATAGCAGAATGAGGATATTAATGGCCTGACACATATGAAGAATGCAGGCACATATGTGAACACACGAGGGATCTATCTGTGAGAATACGAAAATATTGAGTTTTACAATAAATATAGAAAACTATGTAAAGAGTTAGTTATCTGTCAATGTAGTTCAGGGAAAAAGAGCAAACATATAGGTGGACATATTTAAACTAGATGACTAGGTCCATCTTTTATAGACATTTGTGGATTAAATCAATCATATTTGACAACTTAATTGAAATAATACAATGAAGCGAAAACAAGCTATCAGAATGCTTGAGGATTAATGGAATAATATACTGGTCATTTTTGGTATATTAGAAGAGAAAAAGTAGTGTAGATGAAAACATGAAAGAAAATGCAAAAGAAGAGGCAATAGGTTAATATTCAGCAGACGGCTAGGAAGGAGAGAGGAGAGAGTGGAACTGGAAGAGACAATCGAAGTGGATCATGTGACCAAGAGGAGTGAGGGAAGGCATGGATAGAAGAAGAGAAAAGAGAGTGGATTTGTATATGCTATAGCCTTGACCAGAAGCAATGCGTGAATTTCCCTTGTGTTAACTCGGATAATTCGTATACTTCTCTTCTTCAAGGTGTTAAAGAGGCTTTTAAGAATTATTTACAGGCTAATAAGCATTAATATCACCTTAATCCCTAATTATTTGTGTTTTTTATCTATCATGTAGCACCCATTGTCTCTCTTTTTCACATACCGATCTGTAGCACATATTCTTGTTGTCTTTGCTTGCTAGCAAGGCACACAAGACAGTTGCATGGCCCTACACAAACTGGGATGTTGGTCAGAAATATGTAAGCTAAAAGAAAGGGCAACCAAACACGAAGCTCTTGTCCATATGGATTTTGATGAGGGTCAACGTATGTAGCCTTTTCCTTGCAATCAGAGGCTACTTGTATACTTTAATAGCTTGTGACCCAGGCTACAAATGAGCAACCTCACTATAATGCTAAGGTCAAAAATACATATGCCAAACATATTATTAGTAGTTAGCAAATTATTTCTTTCATTTACTTTTATAACACCAATATTTTGTGCATCCAGTATTCAATACCATGTTTTAAAGTTTCCACAAGCTTAACTCCGTGGTGCTTGTGTTGGCATAGGCCCATGCTTTGGTGAGAATGGCCATTTGCATATTGTTGTCTCGTGCTGGTCAGCTTATAAAATGTAGCATGTTACTGGCACAAAGTTTAAATGGCAACATATTCTTTGTTTGCAGCAAGATGGAATCTGTACAAAAATAGAAGTTTCTGCATCCCATTTGTGAAATTAAAGATGAAAAGATGCAATTTTTCATTGCCTATGTGTTCTTTTGCAGGGAATGCAGGGCGTAACTTCATGACACATGTCCTTATAATTGAAAGTGGAGAGGTCCATTACTTTCTGATTCAAATGTTTTCTACTTTTAAAATCAGAAGTTTGCAAATTATATCATCTTTTTAATAAATTTTAACACAGAATGCATGAGCATGGAAGTCACTTATGTTTTTTTTTTTTTTTGCTTCTAAACATATTATCCGTGGGCCTTAACATGTGCATAAAAACAGATAATTGCTTGTTTTTTAATAACATAGTGAAAATTCATATACTTTCTACTGGACATAAATTTATGTGACCAGTGTTTTAAGATTGCAGATCATCACAGACCAAACCTGTTCAGGTTTGACCGCTTTTTAAACCAACCAAACCAAACTAATGTTGTGGCTGATAATTCTTTTGATTCATGTACTTTGTGACCTTCTGAAAACTCCTGGTTAGTATTCCTCGCTCCTCCAACCTATATTCTAAAACATTCATCATCTACTAAAAGTGCAATACTTTTAAAACACCAAACCCAAGAAAAAACTTGTGCAATCATTCAAAATCAAGCAAAATCTCTTAGTGATGTAAGGTTAGAAACATACTGTACCACTTTCCAATAAAACAACTACCAAGGCTTTCCCACAATTGCTCTACTATCCAACATCTCTCACACTCTCCCTAAAACCCTCTACGTTGCTTGTATGTGATACTTCATCAGGCAAGAAAATTGATTGTATTCCTTTTTCATCTTTTAGATCTTGTGGATTGATATAATATTCTTTTGTTTCACCTGGGAGTGGTAATTGTTAGGCAACCTCCTACTGTCCATTGGAATTGAAATCAACCTTGCCAGAAGTTTTGCTTTGTTTTACTCATGTAGTTCTAAACTTCTAATCAATAACAACAATAACAAGAAGTAATGTCTCAACTATTTGGAGTTGTCTACTTTTCTTGTTTGTATATCTAATTTTTGTCCTTGGATCTTAAAGCAATTTAAAGGATGAAAGACTATAAATTTGGAGGTTGGTACTATTGAACACATTTTCATCTGACTCTGTAGATCTATCCAGCGTTTGCAATATTAGAAAGCAATGAAATGTAGTATAGGAAAGGAGGTCTCCAAGAATGGATACATAAGGTTATGACCAAGCAAATCATTTGATCAATGGCATCAGAGATCAGGTTGGGTTGCCCCAGCAGTAAGTGTGACCTACCATAATAATATTAAAGATGGACCTTTTATTCTTCAGGCTTGTTGTGAATTTTTCAATATCTTATATTGACATGGAAACTTCAGTACCATAAATGGGTCAACTAGAACTGTTTTTCCTCCTTTGTTTACCCAAGTGTTGTTTTTCATCTGTTACTTACTGTACCTTAAATTTGGATATGCAACTCAATTTCTCCCATTTCTGTATCTATGCATTATTTCTTGTAGCAAAAATGATATTGCATTCTATTTACTCAGCTTAAATCTTTAGACAGCTAAATCATCAAACTAGTATTAATTCTATTGATGGCCTGGGAACTGGTTGCACTTCATATATTTGTTTATTTTTTGATTGAGATAGTGTACACAAATATATTCAGTAGTACTGTTTTCTTCTATCAGTGACCTAGTAACAGTATGAAGGTTTTACTTTTGGAAAGGATGTGGTTCAGAAAATTATGTCATTCGTAGAAATTGCCAAGAATGTATGTATTCTCTCAGTAACTGGAACGGTTAATGGGGTATCTCTTTTTCATCTGGACAATGCTGGAGGAAGTGTATCCTATGAGGCAAGCATCCCTGAAACTTTCTTGTCCCTTCTTTTGGCTTTTTCTGGTATTTGAATATATATACACACATATGTATGTATAATTGTATCTACACATGGCTACATGTAAATGTAGATTTTTTTAATAAAGCATTTGAATATTTAAGACAATTTAAAAAAGAGAAACACTATGTCAAAACTTTGAGTTGTGCTGGAGTACTTGTTTATAGCTTTTGTCTTTATTTTCTGCTGTCATTGTTTAAAAGTATTTTCCGATGCACTTTGCGAGTCCTTTTTTTATAATCATTTTAGCATTTTTGCTACTGTAACTGTATTCTTCTGTTTCTTATTTTGTTTTTTGTTTATCTTCTAAAAATATTTTTTTTACTTGGTGATAGAAGATCAGTTATAATGACGTTATGCACCATTTGCATGTCTTACACTATCAGATAAACATTCTGCCCAAGGACCGTTATTGCTTTTGTAAATTTGATCTTATTCATTACAAACTCACTTTTGCCGTTTCCTCAATTGTGTGTGCAATTTATGAGTCTATTGCAAAGCATGCAAATATGAGTTAAACTGCCATCAGTTTGTGAAGCTTTTGTACCTACGTGCTGTCTGTTTGTTTAAAATTAGAATACCTGTGTTTGCATATACTTCGTTTTTGGGTTTCATACATCCTAACCACAGTTTGCATATACTTTTGTTTGGTATGACAATTTATTCATCTAGTGGGCTGGAGGGGCTGCAGTGGCCTAGAGATACAATGGGGGGGATGATAGCAGTTGGGAATCAGCTGTGGAAGGGATGGCAGTGGCCAAAGGGAATAATGGTAGTGGCATTTGGAGTTGCAACCAGATTAAAATGTTATGTTGACACAGTAGTTGCATGTAGAAATGCAGTCTTCACAGCTAATTTGCAACCATTTGCGGTTTGTAGACAGAATGTGTAGGCAATCGAATGTTTGGGCACAACGAATGCATGCAACATTTGTGGATTGATGCAAGTGCATGTACATGAAACCTTTATACTTAAGACTGCAACGGAAATATCAATTTTTTACTTGAATTATATTAATCCATTAATTTTTAAACCTACGACTACATTTTGGTGGTGATTATATTCAAATGTTTGTCCATATTAATAAAAAAAATATTTTAAAGCTAAATTAATTATTCTATATAAAGTCCTATAATAATTGGAGATATGGTAGTGCTCTTAAAAGAGCCAAATGGAGGGACAGGATCCTAGCCAATCCCAAATAACTGGGAATATTATGACTTCTCATCATTGTTGTTGCAATATTTTGGAACATTTGTGAGTGTTACCAGAGGTAGTGTTCTGTTGGCGCATAGGATTCTTTCTGCTTCGTTAAATTACTCATGTATCTAGTGGGTTGCCTTTGGCGTTCTGTTTAACTTGGATGGGAAGATCAATTAAATTTAATGGCTGAAAGCTGTCAGGGTCGATGATCATGTGTTTGGTAGAATACACAAGTCATGGTGGTTTAAATCTTGATGGAAGTCTCACTAGAAAGTCCCTTGGAGTAGTAGTCATATATTTTGCCTTAAATTCTGTTGTCTAAAGGATAGAAGCAGGCTGAAGTTGTAACTTTTACATGAAAATCTTGTGTATAAAGAAGATACTTATACCATTTGAGTCTACATTTCATACATGGTTTAGATTTACAGTTGCTTACGTTTGGTATGATTAATTGTTCTATGTTACTGATGACAATAAAGTTAACATACAATATGTTTTATGCTCGAGTTTTGAGGTATAGAGTTGCAGTGGAAACTTTTGGCATAGGAGAAAAAGATATAGTTGACTCGTATCTTATAAAGTTAGGTATAGTTGTTATCAGGGTACTTGTTCTCTTTGTGCTTCAATTTTTAGATATATGTCCTCTAATTTTCTTTTCTTTCTCAAAATTTAGTTGTTCTGCTTATTGTTCATTGAGTGTTTTGTTTGAAGCAATCACTGTAACTAATAGATTTGTGTTAAAAGGGATAGCATAGTGCAAAATGCTTTCGACAATTTGGGTTCGGGAAGGATCAATATATTCTATACAACCTTACCTTTGCTAGCAGATACACATTTTTTTTTTGTTACTTTTTACCCTTGTTATCAGTCACAGAAGAGTAACACTACCATGATGAAAAGAAAAAGGACTTGGTTTTTTAGTCCGATATTAGATTTAACTATTTAGGTCAATTTTGCTTGTTTACTGTATATTAGTGGCCTAATTAAACCAAGTCAAAACTATCATCTTAGCTTACTCTAATTTGTCATGTACTACTATCTAATGTTTGAAAAACCAGTCGGACCATTATGTACCACTTGGTATTGACCAGTATGACAATTGGGTCAGGCAATTTCACCTAGTCCAGTCCGAAACTTTTCAAGAAACATTTTTTAATTTTAAAAAGCTTATCAGCAACCCTCTTCTCCTCCTCTTCCCTTGCATCCCTCTTTCTTTTTTGTCTTTGTTGATTGGTATGTCGGTATACCATATGAAGGTACATTAATATACTCTGGACTTGTAGTGATCTGATTAGGGACCACTACAGATCTTCGACTGAAACTTAAAACCTTGCTACTATCAATCAATATTTGCTTCTATTTTGTTATCATTTCTTTGCCAATTCCTATTATGATATTTACAGAATAAGACAGATCTCGACTCTAAAGATTAAATATAGACCTGTATTATTCTACTTTACCTTTTTGTATATTATCTGATTATGCTAATAATCTGTCCTTTGTTGTTTTCTTTTTCCTCAGATGAGTTCTCTACTGCCTTTTTTCATTTTCTTTGTTACTAATACAGCAGTTTAGTTTATCACTTATATTTCTTGTTATTTCTCTCATAGAACTTTCCTAGTTTAAGTCACTTAGAGATTGATCGTGCAAGGCAAATTTAGCATGATTTACTTCTATTTTGCTATCTAAGTTCTTCAAAAAGCTACATTTTCCACGTTTGTTAATACTTCCTATATGACTTTTCTCCAGGGATGTTATGAGATTATATCACTTTCTGGAACTTTTGTGGACAAAACACCTGTTGGAGCATCGGTCACTGGAGGGTTGCCAATATGCCTCTCCAGTAGCTCTGGTCATCTCGTGGGGGGGCTACTCGGTGGTCCTTTAACTGCTACAAATCGTGTTCAGGTGAATTATAAATGTCGTAGTACCAAGTACCTTTTTTTATATACCTGCGTGGTACTAGCATTGATGAGAGTTCTTTACTGATGTTATGCAGGTAACTCTTGGATCTTTCTGATGTGACAGTGATGGAGACTTCAATGCCCCCACTAAAACAGCTACTGCTTCTGCTGTCCAATCATCCACTTCATTGCAAGCTGGCTCAGCATTATATTCTCCAGGCTCACATCCTCAATAGAATATACTGGGAAATTTACGAGTGAAACAAATGCTATTTACCCAAGTTGTGGTGCAAGTGACATCAGTCATGCGATCCAAGAATCCCCGACCGACTGGACAGGTTTCTGCACTTAATCTATTAAAAGTTTGGTAAAGTTGCATTCCTATTTTTTTTTTAGCATAATGCTTTGCTTTTAAATGGTTTTTTATTTCTTTGAACAAAATTGATCATACCAAATGCTCAAAATTACACTTCCGAAGCAAGAATTGCATGTTGCGCCTGTTTGAGGTGCACTACAGATAAATATGTATGTTACTTGCTATTTTGATCTTTCTGGAATCCGTTAAACCTTGTTATTACTATAGCATGCAAAAATGGCCTCAAGTCATAATGTTAGAAACTTATTGGTCTACCATATGTTGATACATCAGTATTGACTCCTACTTATCAATAAATCGATGAGTCTAGTACATAAAATGATAATCCTTTTACACCATACAATTCAAAGGTAGAATTATCTTTTCTACATCTGTTGTGCTGAAGCTTGCTCTATCTATATCATATCCCTTTAGTCAAGACCAAATTTAGTTGGCATCAGTATTAATTTGCAAATAATAATGTTATGTCGACCTGCTCTTTTAAATTAATTATGTTCACTAGTCAGATAATGATTATGTAATGATTAAAGCTATATCACTTGTCTATCTCATTGATGCAAAGATACATGAAGTGGCACTGATTTGGTGTACTCGTTCATTTGGCTAGAACTTTTATATCATGTGTCGTTTTGAAGTTCCATAACCTCTCTTGGTTCCTGATGACTAAAGGGCAATTCGCCTCTTGTATTTGCAGGAAGGTGAGATGGTGGACATGGTGGGGCATCTCGGTTCCTAGATGATCAAAATGATGAAAAATTATAGTATACAGAAATTTTTTCTTGATTGTAAAAGTGTTCACCATCTTCCTTGTTGGCTACATCCTCAGTGAGGAATTCATGCACAGCCCTCCAAATTTTCGTGCGCTATTCTTCATCTTAGTTTGATCTGTAACGCTGATATTTGTATTGATGGAATGCTTTCAAAGTGGAGATGCTCGTCGAGTAGATTTTCCGATCTCTGGGAATTCTCGTGTTCTTTGGTAGCAATTGCTGAATTGATGTAAAAACTTTTCAAAAAAAAAAATTTTTTTTTACATTGATCATATCATATCGTGTCTATCAAAATCATATTTTTAATGTTTACATAGATCGTGTCTATCAAAATCATCCTTTTAATGTTTATATGTGATGAATAATATTCTTTATGCTTTCACCTAATTTGATCTTCATCGAGTGTTTGACGAACCTTCATACTTATTTTAGTTTGTTTAGAGCTCTATTCTCTGGTCGTGGTCATTGTCCAAAGAGACTATGCTAACCTCCACCTTGATCTCTCTGCATAAGCTAAAAGTGATCTCCATCGAGAAGTCGAATAAGGTGACGAGATCCTCTTCTAAGTGTATAGCAGTGGATAAATTCTCATAGGTGTCTATGTCGTAGAGAATTGGAAGGATATTTATGAAATTATTAAAAATAAAAATACTATTTGAAAAAATAAAAATAAGGCACCTAATCATAAAATATATTTTAT